ATTGCGTTAATCATAATGATGTATTTTGAGAAATCATCATCAAATTGTCTCATACTTCTTATCACAGAAGAATGATCATACAACTGAAAACTTTTGTTCTTTTCTTTTCTCGATTCTATTTTCACTATTGTAATCAAACAAATGAAAAGAACTTCGAGAAGTTTCCATTCTTTTTTTCTTCATTGGTATTAAATGTAAGTTACTGAATAAGATGTAACTTATGATTTACAAGAAAAATGTCATTCAACTAACATTATTTTAAGGAAAGAGATGCATTAATAGAATTATCTAGTAGGATTTTTTTGGAGTTTTTTTCTAAAAAAAAACAATTTTCTGAGCCTTTTAAAAATACCTCTTTCCATTCCACTGTACACGGTCAGCGAAAAGTAATTCGAAGTTCTCATTTTGCTAAAAAATCCTTCAACTTTTTCATATTGAGGATTTCTTCCAAGAGAAAAAATATTTCTGAATATTGAAATAAACTTATAAAATAACATTTTTTAGAAGACAATGGATAATCGTACAACAAGTAGCATAATCAATACTTTTGAAGATACGCTTCAAATCATTACGATTCATCTGATAATTTGGCTGGAATCTTTCTTTTGCTTCTTGGAAATATTGGACGTATCGGAAATCTAATCGTGTTTCTATCGCAAGTATATCGTCGACAACCTTGTTTTATTTATTTATTTTGGGGAACAATTCTCAGTTTGTTTATTTTGAATTGTATATTCCTTACGCTCATATTAGTGTTGTTCTAAACACTGATCACATGGGATTGGAACTCGAACTTCGTTCTAATCGAACACTGTCATATAAAGGCGAGAAAATGACTGTCACCTCTGTAAGTTCGATCAACGCGACAACACACTCGTATACCGTTCAGCAAACGATTAGTCTTGGTGGACACTTAATTGGACCAGTTTTTGTTTGTTTGAAAGAGGTGAAAGGACGAATGTCTGATAACATTAAGGCGCATCTGTTCAAACCAGACAACATTGTCTGTACATGTAGTGCTTCTGCGAAATTAACGGCTTTGTTAGGAAAGTATTGGAGAGATCACGTTCTCGTACCATCTTTGTCGAAAAATTCTAAACATCTGTTGCTTTCTGACTCATGGTCGACACAAGGAGCTGAAAGCCTTTATAAAAATTTCAAAAACGTTGAACGTCCTGAAATTCCTTCAAAAACCACATCACTAATACAACCTTTGGATGTATATTTTAATAGACAATGGAAGGCAATTGTTAAAAATGCCTATGATCGAGTGTGACTAGATGAACTCAACGTCAATATGAGCGAACGGAACAATATTATACGCCTGCAGTCGCTAATTCATAATCAAATGAGCAGCTCTATATTTGTTCCTATGATAAAATTCGCGTGGTACGCTAGTGGTTACTCCAAACAGAACCCTGGTTCGTTTCAAAACGTCAAGGAAGTTTGTTTTTCTTTTGGTTCTGACAGCTATAGCGAACAATCATGTGGTCAGTCACCTTTCATCACGTGTAGTTGGTGTCGAAAAGACTTATGCTTCGATCATTTTTTCATTAGTTACCACATTCGCTAAAGTTATCATGTATAAAAAACTAAAAACTCATTTTTCAGTTGTTCAAATGATCTAATTGCATGTTTTATTTTTTCTATCTGTTAAACTACCAAATGAAAGAGCTTGAGCAACATCTACACAACTTTCAAAATGTTTTATAGAAAAGATCTGCATCACTTCTGTCTATGAGTATTTCGAAAAATAACCTTTTGTTTTGATATACATTAGTATTGTAATTCAGACACAACATGCGATCTACATACATACCTAACCTTAAATTGAAACGTTCGTATCTCAGCCAAAAAGGTCCATGGGCAGAAATCCTTTTAAGGTTTCTCTAGTCTCACTAAGTCTTACTTATGGCCAGAATATGGGCCTTAACGCTTTTAATCAGTTGGTGGGGTTCCCTCGTAAGCTGCCATAACCAGTGTCACGTCGGCTAAGACGATTTTCAAATGGCTTATGTTTCTTGACTTAAATAATCCTAATAGAAAAATCTACAATGTGTGAGGGTGATGGTGGGTGAGTATAGCTATCACGATACATGTATTTCGAATTTGCAAAGAATCTAGTGAATAAGAGTATCGTATATATGATGTGTCTATTGGTTAGATAGATCAACTATATCAATACTTCGTGTCACTTGATAAGATTCTTTGCAAATTCGAAATACATGTATCGTGGTAGCTATACTCACCCTCACCCACCCTCAAGAATTCATCTACCATGCGCTAATACAAAATACATAATATCATCTGAATAAGAAAATGTGATTTTAAATTAGCATTAAATAAAATATTTATTTATTATCAAACTGATAAATATCAACAATTATTATTAAAAATTATTACTTAATTATCATACATATATGAGTACAAGAGAATGAAAAATTTATCCTTAATATATTTATTATCATTGAATCAATATTTAATAATATCAAGCATTACAGCACCGGTTGAATTCATTTCCATCTTCCTCCGCCTTTAAAAAATTTCTAAATTGGTTTCCTATTATTATTAACTTCCTTTGCTGTTCCTGTTAATTCTTAATTTTAAAGTTTGTTTCTTATGATTGAAATTTCTTTCGTTCTATAATTTCTTCTAATTTTGTTTACTTGTTGTTTTACTTTTTTCGAGTTTTAAACCTTTTTGAAAAAACTTTGTTTTTCGTGCTTAATTATATGCAGAGCCCTGATGAGTGTTATTATTTTAAATAAATAAACACGAAGCGCGTCGGCAAAAATTAACTTTGCATTTTGTTATTATTGATTAACAAGCATATTAATTCAATAAAAAACGATTTATTTTTTATAATAATATTGATTGCTGAAAAGCAAGAATTGAGATTAGCACGTTAAACTTGTCTTTTCGTCAAAAGATAGGCTTGGTCTGCTTTTAATTGACTCACCCTCACTCTCACGACACATTTGGTTCCAGTTCGCAATGGAAGGATTTTTATCTTCTGTTAGTAATAAGTTTTCATCCTGTTCTTAATTTAAAAACTTCCCAGATCCCATTATTCAATGCTTTAAAAATTATCAAAAATATTACGAAAACTTTCATTGTCTTTTCAAAAAGGCACAATGCTCTGTTGTCACATCTTGAACGGTTTATTTGCTTTTCATTTGACACTTATTTTGCATAAATAACTAATGAAAAAACCGAATTTCTTTTCGTTCTGTGTGGAATCAAAAAGAAGGTATTACTGCAGAATCATGACACTCTATGCACGCACTAATTGGTCGGCACATCCAAAAGTTATAGTGAGGATATCAAAGAATGCCAGTGCTACGGTGTGGTGATTCTACAGTTGTACTTAGGAATGGAACTTTACCTTTACTTTACTTTAGTTACGTAACTAAAAAGTAAAGTAAATATCCCACCCCTAGTTGTATCTGAATTCTCATTGGACAACTTGACAAGAGGACACATCAATGACGAAAACAGGCACTGTTTGCTTTTTCTCTCATGCTGAAAAGGGATGAAAGACGAAGTAAAAAAACTCTAGTCGTTTTCAGTAAGATCGTTGCCGCATGCATGCATCGTGCATTATGTGTAGATATGTACGAACGTCGTCTGTGTCACAAAAATCAAGCAAATAAGAGCGAATGCGTGCTTTGCAAGTTCATTCCGGAAGATTCTCATCATATAACACTTTATTCATTGCGTGCATATTAGCAACAAAAAAAATCCAATCTTCTCCAATGGAATACACACCAACTACGTTTCTTCCATCGACCTCATATGTTGCATCCTGGAACGACAATGAAAGAATCTCCTCCACTCCAAATCTGTCAGAAGTTATTCTGTCTGTTTTGGTTGGTCGACTTCCTTGAATGCTTTTATCGCGAACAGACTGACTTTGGGCAAGAGAATCTCGATATTCGACACGTTCTGTTTTTCGATGATGTGAACGAATGCAAAGCATGCATTGAAGAATGTACACGGGAATGGATTTTGCTTCTCGTGATGAATATAACACTTCCAGAAGAAACAATATTTCGATTACACGGGTGTGAGTGTGGGTGTGGATATCCACAGAGACATCGATATCACACCCACACCCAAACCCACACCATACCCACACCCACGCACCCGCACCCGCACCCACACCCACCCACCCGCACCCACACCCACCTACCCACACCCACCTACTCGCACCCACACCCACCACACCCTCAATCTTTATTGGCTCTTATTACGAAAATTATTTACTTCCACTAACATTATCTATTTCGGACGAAAATTTAGAAAGTTCGTGCAACTCAGTATATTTTTACGAATAGGAAAATTATCAAAGTATGAAGCAAATCATTTTACACCTTCAGACAAAAGTCTTTTCTCCCTTTATCTTTTTATACTGCCATACACTTTGCATCAAATTTATTACTGAGTAAAGACACGATATGAGAGTTTTATTAGTGTGATCTGTACATCAAAATGAAATAAAACTTTCATGTCATATCTCTGCTCAGTAATAAATTTAATACAAAGTTTGACAGCATAAAAAGATAAAGAGGGAAAAGATTTTTGTTTGAGGGTGTACATCTTATAAGAGAGCCTATGCATGATTTTTTCATATATTTAATTCCTCAGAAGGAGTCAAAGAGCTGATTTTAAAATGAAATGGCCAATCTAAAACATGAAGTTGCTGTACGTATGTTGTTTATTTACCTACTCAAACGTTGATGGACTAGCACATGAATAATCACTGTATAAAAATTGCCAACAAATTTTGATAGAAGGTTACATTTGAGACACTATATCTTGACAAAAGGGTGTAGGTGGGTGTGACTCGGATGGGTATAATTCTCTTCCTCACACCCACACCCTATTACCGATCACCCACGACTGATATTTTGCCGTTAAACGAATGGCATTCATATGAGTCGGAAGAAGGGTATAACTTACTCTTTGAACAAATAGTTGCGGATGAAGGTCCAGAGTCAATGAAAGAAGATTTAAAAGAACATCTGAAAGTGTATGATGATAAGGAAGAAAATATCAAGAAAACAGAATTTAAAGAATTGCAAACTGAATTATTGGTCATTGGTGAAGGTATACTGATTGCTGTGAACAATATTTGTTCGGCTTCCGAACTGGTACAACTTATTTAGAAATTTTGAATATACCAGAATGGAATGAAATTGAAACATTTAAAGGCTGGATTGAAATGGCATTAGGAAGTGAAATGGATTCAGAAGATGATGATGATAATGATGACTGATCGTATTTTTGAGTGAATCTTCTGTTAAAAGAGTTTTTTTGTCAGTAAGAGTATTCTTCTCATTAAAAAAAAATCAGACCTAAAAATATAGATATAGACATCTTACATTCTCGAATAATAAACATATCTGAGTGAATTGCAATTTTTCGGTGCGATTGAAATTCAAGTTGTGTTTACCTGATGATTTTTGTTTTCATTAACTGATTTGGACAATTTTTTGATAGTCTCCTTCTTTCTGATTGTCCTATACTCACGCCAAATTTTAGATCTTTAACTCATACCGTCATTGAATTATGTAGTTTTCTTTGTAATTTATTTTGAGGCAATTCATCAATGAGTTCTTCACTGTCGTTCAAATTGATGATTGTTACTATTCTTGAGGAAAGGTAAGGGTTAGCCAGGCAAACCTAGACACATTTCAACCTTTTTTAAAGATCTCATTGGATAGTTTTGAGCTCATGTTTAGATGTATTGTAAAATAAACATTCGCTCTATTTTAGTCTGTGTCTTGATATCTTTTGAAGTAGATCGTTGGTCAAGTATTCATTGTTATTGAGGTTGGCAATTGTTGTCATAACTGTGAAAATGGACGTTTTAACACTGAAGAAAAATAAGAAGTAGTGTAACTACAGAGAATAGAATTTCTGCTCTTCTAGACCGGTCTATTGACTGGTCACCGTTCGAACGGCCGGTCCGATCTGACAAAGCGAGACCGGTATCTGTACCGGTCGTCAAAAATTCAGGCTGGTTCCATCTTTGGTGTGGATGAGTGTGTGGAGTTGATGAGAGTGAGTATGGGTGATAAGGACATATGCGCACTTACATCCCGCATCTACTCACCCCACCCTCACCCACTCACATCCTCAATGCGGTTTTCACAGTTACCTAGATATAGCTAGACACTTATTTCCTCCTTTTCCCTAGACTGAAAGGCTAGGGTCTAGAAACCGTAATTCACCTGTGTCTGTCTGTCTGTCTGTAACAAGGGCTTGGCACAAATGACCATTTTTATGGCAAAAACGGCCATTTTTATGGCACAAATGATCATTTCTATGGCACAAATGATCATTTCTATGGCATAAATGACCATTTTTATGGCATAAATGTCCATTCCTATGATACTAATGGCCATTGTTATGGCACAAATGACTATTTCTATGGCAGAAACGACCATTTTTATGGTACAAATTACTATTTACATGGCACAAATTACGGTAAAAATACAACTATCTGCTTGTCATCATTCCGTCAGTCTAGGGCCCAGTCAATCGACCTTCGATGTCGATGAACGTTACTTGTCTATTCTTCTTTTCTTTATTCACACGGCTTTTAGCGCACAAAAAATGTCTCAAATCTGTGCAAGACCTCCATCGACAAAAAGTTCAATGCCTGTAACATAACTACTATCGTTCGATGCAAGAAAGACTACTGCTTTAGCAACTTCATCGGGCATTCCAATACGATTCATCACAGTAGCAGCTGCCAGGCGAGCGCGTATCGTTTTCTTTTCCTCTTCACTGTTTCCGAGACTTCGCAATGCACGCGTATCGATTGGCCCCGGCTGCACAATATTCACTCGAATCTTGCGCTCCTTCAAATCGACCGTCCAGCAGCGAGCGAAAGAGCGTAGGGCCGCCTTACTAGCAGCAAAGACGCTAGTGCCTGAACCGCCTTTGACGGCGGTAACAGACCCATTTAGGATGATTGATCCACCATCGGTGAATATCGGCAAAGCTTTTTGAACGGCGAATAATGCTCCTTTCACATTAACGTTGAATGTATCATCGAAATTTTTTTCCGTGATCGAGCCCAGTGCTACAAATGAGCCAGCCGCTGGGTTGACGAAAAGAATGTCTAAACGACCTTTCTCTTTCTGAATGACACTGTAGAGCTTGTCAAGATCGGCCATATTGGATGCGTCACCTTGTATGGCACTTACATTCTTGCTATCAATTTTCTTCACGGCTTCGTCAAGTGCTTCTTGGTGACGTCCAGTAATGAAGACATGTTCCACACCTTCAGCGATGAACTGCTGAGCAGTAGCAAATCCGATTCCTTCAGAGCCACCGAGAATAAGAGCGACTTTTCCGTCAAGTTTGCCCATTTTTTTTTGTTGTTGTCGTTGTTTTGATAGTCAGAGTCTTTGATTCACGGTTGCTTGTCGATTTGTTGTGAAGAAAGATAGAGACCTTTGCACGTTATATATATAAATAAGCATCACTATCATGCTGACGATTTGTTTCGTTCTCCTAGGTTGGTATGTTGACACAACCGACGGAGCTTAGACAAATAAGCGAAACAATGTCAAATGCACTTCGCGTGTCGCCCGCTGGATTTTTATCATAGATCAAAGATTCTGTTGATGCTAGTCGATAGAGAAAATTTTTCTCTATCGAACTGCACTTCTGGTTTCCGCGGAAAAAGTAGTGAATAAACATAGGTAGCGCTGCTAAAGCCATTGTCGTGATACCATTATGGCAACGAACTGCAAAATGGTGAATGAACGAACCTCTTGAGGGTTTGGGTGTGGGTGTGAGTGTGAGTATCTCTTTATCCACACTCCACACCCACACCCACACCCACACCCTTGTTTTAGAATCTATTTTTTCCTCTCATTTCGAACAACAGGTGTAAATAATGAAACAGAAAAAAAAATAAAAATAAAAAACTCAGACGCTGGCAGATCGGGCTCTTCGTGCCGTCCGGGATCAGCACTGCTATTGCTATGACCAATAGGTTTGCCTTAAATTATTTCAAATGACATGAAAATTAAAAACAATCTATATGTAGAGTATTTAAAATGAAGAAGAACTTGATTTTCGTTGAAAAAATACGATGGAAAATTGAAAATATACTTATTTTACCAGGTATTTCCCATTTTCGGAAACTTTCGACATTTTTTTTAAAGTTTGAACATCATATTCAGATAGAGCATGAAAAACTGTACCGAACTCAATATAAAACTCATTGGATAAAAGCTTCGTTAGAAAAAAAATTGATGTATATTTTGAATAAAATATGCCTTTTTTCCTGTTTTTTTGGGTTTTTAAAGAAATAAACAGAAAAAATATGTCTTTTAAGCCTTCAACTCTCTTGAATTGATATAATAATTCTTCCTATATATAAATAAAGCATTGTTGCCTTTCTAAACCGATTTCTCGAGTCACATGACAATGATTTCTGGACTAAGGTAAAAAATTGGTCCTGGTCGAGAAAAACAGTTTTTTCTTTTGGAGTACATTTCTATGCAAAATAAACCTTATATTCGTGATCAGTATGGTCGATAACCTACGACTAGATCAATTTGGGTTACAACAAAAAAAAAAAATTTTTTTTTCCCGAGGGGGACCAGTGCAAAAATTTTTTACGAAAAAAAAAATATAGTTTTGTTCAGAATTTAATGCTGATTCCAACCATATAATTTTTTTCAAAAAATGTTGAGATCGAAAAATGGCCTTATCGCCACTTGTCCTTTAATATTTGTTCAGTTATTTCTTTTAATAATTAAGTTAATTTACTATCAAATAATGATATTCAAAATACATTTAAAAATTAAAAAAATTCTAAAATTATTTCATTGATTATCTTCCAAAAGCAAATCAATTTCATTGTCATATTTATTCATATCCATATCAATTGATTTATTATAATTATGTAACAAACAATATTCGTGGTGAATTATTTAAACATGTTTGTAAAATATCATTAGTTGATGAACGTCCTTTCGAACATAAATTTTTTCTTCAAATTCCTAAATCTTTGTCATTTGTCAGCGAACTATCTATATATAATTGGGAATCCCAAAAGAATGGCAAGCAACAATGCTCAATTATAGAATATCCTCATCTTGCTAAACTTGCTCTTGTTCAAAATCATGAAAATTATTTGGAACAATTTTTGAATAATAGTAAAATGTATTTATCAAATAATATTTATCTTCTTGAGAATTATGATTGCTTACAAAGAGTAACGGATAATTTTACAAGTGATGCTAAACGAATGAATTATGCCAAAATTAAATATCTAAATTTAGACATTCAACCAGAATTATCTCTAGATTTAATAAAAGACTACTTTCCTCATGCAGAAATACATTGATTATTGTTATTTATTACTTTAATAAAATTTGAAATCTAAGTAAAATCATTTTGTTTGACATTTTATAAGAAAAAGATAAAGGTATTCTATTTATCAGAAAGGTTAGATATGAGTTATGTGAGTAAGATAAAAGTTATTTTGCAAGAGAGAAGAATTTACCAAGAATTACAGTTATTGATGTAACTAAGTGTTATTATAAGTTGTATAAAATATGTCATGTAGTGAGATTTACTATTGTTATTTTCTATTTTTTCTTTTCATTTCTGTTATATTCATTATTGTTGATCAAGGTCAAACAAACATAATATTTGGTCTTGACTTTATTTTATATTACGTCGTAATAATATTGTCTATTACGTAATATATATATATATATATATTTCGTTTTGCAAGTAAGTCATCTTCATTTGCATATATTTGTATTTGTTCTTTTCCTTGATATTGTGATAACTCTAATATCTATAACAATATTTCTATTTTTATATCTAGTTTGTTTTCTTTCCGTTCTTTTACTTCGTTGTATGAGTCAACATGATATATATAGATATACATGTTTATCTTTAAAATATTGTTATATGTAATTGCAAGCTTGTTGAAAATCAGTTTTAAGTTAGTAATAAGATAGTTACAATCTTGTTATTCTTGTTCGTTTCTTTCATCTGATTTTTAATTCGTTTCTGTACTTTCAAGTCAACAAAATAAGTTATTGATCTTGACTTTTATTTATTTTCTTCAATACGTGACAAAATATATAAAAAAAAAACATTCTTCTTATAACTATGTTCCGAGAAATAAGAATCTTCTAATCAAGCAAAATGAGATTTTGAGTTTTTCAAATTTAACTATCTATCAAAATTCATTATTCAAGTAATTCATTAGCAAAAAGTCGAAATAATTTAAGACTTAATCTAAAAATTCTCTACCTAAGGAAATCTTATAAGTGAATATAGTTCAATTGTACCGATGATTAACTCATCATATCAGGTCAGCAAAACTGTCTTCCAATAAATAGTACACTATACTGAAAGACAGAGTTTTTTCTTTTTCTTTTTCAATTTTCTTACTTAACATAAACATTGATTGAAAAATTTTGAAAATTTTTATCTTGAGTTTATTTTTTATATACATCCTTAAAAATAATCTATCTGCTCACCGATAATACAGTAATATTACCTTATTCACCAAAAGAAAAAGCAAAACAAAACATTACATCTTCTATGTATATAGTTAAATCAAATAAAGAAAAAAGCATATTAATATCGGATAAGGATTCATGAAAACACATAATTAGTAAAAAAAAATATGAATGACTATGTTCGTATAGATCTCAAATCCTTTGAGAAAAAAGATATATAGAAAAAACTAATAAATAGAAATATTTACATTAGTAGCATTTGTTTTTTTCTTTTCTTCACAATCGATCTTATATTGCATGCCAACAACACACAAACAAATTATATAAAAGGGAAAAAAAAGTGCGTTCTATGTTCTAAGGAAGATGAAAACTAATGATTGTGGTTATGATATTGTTAATTGAAAAAGCATGTTGAACATGTCAATTGAATTTGAAGAATTTATTTTGTGATGTATCTATCATCTAAAAGAAAAAATAATTAAATATATAAAATTCTCAGAATATTCTTTCAAGTTTCTACTGTGTGAATCGTCTTCTTCTTATTTCTTAATTTATAATAAAAATATTCTCAAAAAAGATTTTTATCATAATTTTAAATCTTTTGTTTGTCTTATTTTCATATTCGAAAATTTTATCAATGAATTTTATTTTATTTGAAAAGAAAAAACATTATATTTTGTTCTATTAATCAAATAGAAAATGTTCATTGACACTGACTTAAATATTATTCTTTCTTGATAATCAATGATTTGTTATTTATCTGTGTGTCAATATAGACAGACATTAACTAAGATGTTTATGTCTTGATGCTTTATGACAATTATCATTTCTATATCACTGAGTTCTTATGGAAAAAGTTTTAGAATAAAATCTTGATTAATTGCAGTTTTAATAAACTGCACAGATCAGATAGTTTATTCAGTTTTTACAAACAATTTAGAATCAGAGTATTTTGATTTGTTAAAACGGAATAAATAGGTTGACATTCAAAGTTTTTATTTAAAAAATTTTTTCCGTAAGTTTCTTATCTTTTACTGAAGTAAAAAGTTTCCAACTTCAAAAAACAAATATTATTTTCTAAATGTAATCTGATTAAGTTTCTATACGAAATAGCTCATTGTTTGCCTTATAATAAAAAATATATGCTTTACTATTTTGTTAGATTTTTAAAAGATAAAAAAACATGAACTTCAGCTATTGATTCAAATATCCTCAGCCAACATTTACTAAATAACTTTCGTTGTGATATAACCTCAAACTTTTCAACTTCTAAATGAACTAATATTTATATTGAGAATTTTATATTTACCTTTCAATATGACGTCCAATACATAATTTGATTGTTGATTATTATCCCAAAATTCTTTTCCCATTGTTTGTAAACAAATAGCAAATAAAATTCTTTTTAGTTTAGTTTTATCATCATTATTATTAAATTTTGCTAAATTTATTTCAAATATAAATACATCTGTATTATTATTTGAATAACTCGTTAAATAATATGCTTGAATATTATTAAATGTTTTCCATTCATTATATGTTAAACGAACAAAAACATTTTTATTATAATTAAGATTATGTACACGAATTGTTCCATATGCAATTGAATCTTTTGTATATAAACATTCAAGTATTACTTGTTTTTCATATATTAATGGAAATATATTTGTTGGTGATGTAAAATTTTTTGAAATAAGATTATATTGATTTAAATGTGTAGATGATAGAGAAAATGGTGATCGAATTGAATTATTTTGATTTTTAATAGAATGTAATTGAGTAAATTCTGACATAAAAGAATTTGTTGAATGATCTGGTGGAGTCATATAACGAATAGTTTCTAAATCAAGACCCTAAAATAAAGTATATCTGATTATCTCATATCATTTTTTATTTTCGAAAGAACAATAGAGAAAAAAAAAGAAAGTAAACTAAAAATTTATTTTATAGCTATAAAGATTTTACCTTATTTTCTATAACTATATAAATTAAATCATCACGATAAGCTATATGTCTTTATCAATAGTGATTTAATTAATGTTTTTTTTTTCATCATAAAACTATCCAACATGAATAGTCACTATCGAAGAAATAAAATAAAAGGAAATAAAGAAAAGATATAGATCGAAGAGTGCAACAGCTGATAATGTTTTTCTTCTTGTCCTAAATATTTACACCTTCCATTTGTGTTACATATATACAGAACAGGAAAAAAACTCTATTGATGTATAACATACTATACTGGACAAAATTTTTTAGACGATTTTGTTTTGTGTATAACTTTCTTATAAAGTTGGTTTTAGAGGTGCGGCTTACGTCAAAAGTATAGTCAGTGTCTATCCTATATTCTCAGAAAATTCCACCCTTAAATGTTGAGTTATAGTGGAACTGGAGATATAACAATGTGAAGTAATTACATTTTTGTTGGACAATTTTTATTGAACGATCTATTGAATTGAATTATTTTTTGGTCCAAAAATGTTCACAAAAGACTGAATCTATATCAATGGAAAGAGGAGAAGACGGACTACATTCTGGTAACTAAAACTTTTTAAAAGCATGTTGTCTATGAAGTAATATGCTTATTTCACGACAAACACCAGACAATGTTCATGTGAGCACTTTATCATTTTCATACAATGATTAATTTTTATTTCTAAACATTACATTCGACAGAGCATCGAATACTGCATCAGATAACAGATGTTTTACAGTTTCACGAAATACGTTTTTTGATTTTTTAAGAATGACTTTTCGGAAGATTTACAGCATTCGGTGCTCTGTCGAATGTAATATTTAGAAAGAAAAATTACTCATTATATGAAAATGATAAAGTGCTCACATGAACATTGTCTGGTGTTTATCGTAAAATAAGCATATTACTTCATAGACAACATACTTTTAAAAAGTTTTATTTATCAGAATGTAGCCCATCTTCTCCTCTTTCCATTGATATAGGTTCAGTCTTTAGTGAACATTTTTGGACCAAAAAATAATTCAATTCAATAGATCGTTCAATAAAAATTGTCCAACAAAAATGTGATTACTTCACATTGTTATATCTCCAGTTCCACTATAACTCAACATTTAAGGATGAAGTTTTCTGTGAATATAGGATAGACACTGATTATACTTTTGATGCAAGCCGCACCTCTAAAACCAACTTTATAGGAAAGTTATACACAAAACAAAATCGTCTAAAAAATTTTGTCCAGTATAATATATTTTTCTCCCCTGAAACACTAATTACTAGACGTTTTCTTATGAAATTCATTTGCTTTATTTTAATTGAGATCTTTTCTTGTTTTTTTTTTTGAAATAGACCAAACATTCTCTTAATTAATAGATTCAATCGATTTTGATGTGTACTAGCTCTTATGAATATCAATATGAATGTGAGCTGTGCTGATATGACATCTATATGTAATATTTCATATTTCTACGATAGTGGTGATATGTATACACCAACAGATTTTTTTCCTGTTCTGTATATGTTTCACAAAGGGGATGTCGTTCTTGTATAGTTGTACCTCATTTTTTTTTCTTTCAGACTTTTCTAAATTTCCATTAAAACCTATTTATATTAATAAAATAGAATCAAAAAATTAAAGAAAACTACTAGTGGAACGTTTTGTATATATAACAGACCTCAAAAAGGTTCTTAAAAGATTTAATAGCTTTAAGAGCGTTTTTTCATCCCAAAATATTTCTATTATTTATGTTAAAATCAATTCAAAGAACGCTACTAATGATATTTTAAAAGTTTATTTAGGAATATCTCTGAACTGATTTTTTGACCCGCACTCGAATGTTCTCACTGGAGTGTCAAATTAGTCATTTCTTTGGGGGAAGTACAAATGCGAATCAAAAAAGCAATTGAGTTATATTCCAGAAAAAAAACAGAAATATTTAGAGAAGAGGGGAGGGAGAGGGGAACGGCCTTAATGCTACTTGTCCTTTCATTATTTGACTTATTCAATACTCTTAAAATATTCTATTTCAATATTTCTAATACTTGAATATAATAAAGCAGCATTAACATACCAACTTATCAGCAAATCGAACAACTTTTTTTTGTTGTTTGTTTAGTACAATTGATTTTGCTTTAGATCGTGCAAGATTTAATGACTTTGAACGTATACCAATTCCATCTTCAATTTCTTCATTATCTGTTGTATATGGTGTAACAAGATCTTCTGAATGTAATGTATATGTTGAATCATGTAAAATAGATTGTTTTAAAGATTGATCATGAACTTTTTCTAATTCATCAATATATGCTTTTAATTTTGATTTACCGAATAAATTTAATGTACCTAAGAAAAAAAAGAAAAAAGAACATAAATAAGTAAAAGTGATGTTAAAGACCGTTTTCTCTCCTAAAATCTTGCAGCTTTTTAATGTTATGACCAATTCAACAGAGAGTTCTGATGATATTTCAAAAAATACTTTTGAAATATCATCAATAGCCTCCGTTGAATTGATTTTAACACAAATAATGGAGATATTTTGGAAGCAAAAAAAATGTTCTTCAAGTCATTTATCGTTTGTTTTTTTCTCTTATGTATATATTTTTACCATTATTTTTATCTGAAATTTCTTGAGTTTCTTCTTCATCATCATCATCATCACTTGTTCGATCAAATCCAAAATCAAAATCAAGTTCTTCTGATAATGATGTATTTGAACTTGTTATTTGATCAGATAAACTTGAAGTTGAACTAAAATCTGATCTTGATAATAAATCATCTTCTGATAAAGAATTTGTACGATTATATGATGGAATTTGTTTTATATTATATAAATCATTTGATGAATCTTTTGAAAGAATATTGAATGAATTAGTTGTTGAATTTTGTAAATAAAATATAACTCTATGATTACTTGATAAATATGATGTATTGAGAGTATCATTTAGTTTTTCTAAATGATTCATTATTAGGTTTATGTTTTTTTTTGTCAAATCTAAAAATAAAATAAATAAAAATATTTTATTTTATGTTAACTTAAAGAAGAATAATCTTGCAAAAAAAAAAACTAATTTTTTTTTGGAAAAAATGTCCTTTTATTTTTGAATAAGGTAGAAAAAAAAAAATAAACATTACGTAAAATATTGCAATTGACTATACATGCAAAACAACATTGGCTTTTTTTATCTTCTTTCGTCTTTTATATAACGTATATAATGTGTGTGCTAATAGTACCCATTTGCCCTACTACCTTCTTTTGCTATTCTTGACATAAGAAGTCGTCCAAAAGTTATTTTGGGTACATTTTCTTATTTCGCTGTTAAATGAAAAACAAAAGACAAAACAAAAACCTTCTTATCTATTGGATATTTTCTTATCAGTCATCATATGATTTATAAATAAATAAATTAAAATGGTAAATTTTCTAGAAAATCAAAATTAATATTGTCGACGTCGATAATTTCTGTTTTTCTTGTTCTGCATGGTATTTCAATGTTATATTATATTTCACATAGAATTTTTCTCTTGACTGAAGGGAGGGTCATATGAAAAAGAATAGTTTGCTTGCTTGTCGCAGGTCAAAAGAACATCAGAGTAATTTTTTAAAAATGATTCATTATTAGGTTTATGCTTTTCTTTCGAATCAAAAAAAAAATAAATAAAAATATTTTATTTTATGTTAACTTAAAGAAGAACAATCTTGCAAAAAAAAAACTAAATTTTTTTTGATAAAATATTCTTTTATTTTAGAATAAGGTAGTAAAAAAAGAAATAAACATTATGTAAAATATTGCAATTGACTATACATGCAAAACAACATTGGCTTTTTTAATCTTCTCTCGTCTTTTATATAACGTATATAATGTGTCTGCTAATAGTACCCATTTGCCCTACTACTTTTTTTTTATTATTCATCTCATAAGAATTCGTCCAAAGGTTAGTTTGGGTACTTTCTCCTATTTCGCTGTTAAATGAAAAACAAAAGATAAAAAAAACCTTCCTATCTATTGGATATTTTCTTATCAGTCGTCATATGATTTATAAATAAATAAATTAAAATGCTAAACCTTCCAGAAAATCAAAATTAATATTGTCGATCCCGATAATTTGTGTTTTTCTTGTTCTACATGGTATTTCAGTGTTACATTATACTTCACATAGGATTTTTGAGAATATCTAACATATAGAAAAAGAAAGTTTGTTTTTTCTCACTAAATTTATTTAGTCATGTTTTCATTTCAAATAATCTTTTAAGACACAACATTAAGATAAAAGAATATGAATTATAATCCAAGGATAAGATGTATGAGATTTTCTTTATAACACAAACAGAAATAATTATTTATACTAAGTACTCAAGCTTTGCATTCATTGCAATAAATATTAGCAATCGTCTTAGAAATATCTTTCCATGTCGTCAAAATCGCTTAAGTTTTAACGATTAATCATTAGTATTCTGAAAAATCGCGATTGATCGGCGATTTTTTTATATTAGCGATATAGTGTGATTAAATCGATGATTTATTCAACTTAAAATTTTTTGACTCAAGCTAAGAAACTATACCAATTCTCAATAATTTCTGACCTTAAAACTAATTTAAGAGTATATGTAGCATGCTATACTAGAGAAGTTTGGAACTTCCCCAAGATTAGTATGTTCAACCATCTGTCATATCAGTCTTATTCTTTATTGATTGATGAGTTCTGGCCAATGCGACAAAATGGCGACGCTTCTTTGTTTTATATCTCATGTCGTCAATTTTTTATCAAAACCGACAGTTAGATTCGGTTTTCCTTCATTTATCGTTTTTTTTACTAATTTATTACTAAATTAATATTTTTAGTCTTGACAAAGTCGATCCAACTTTAAAAAATCGACTTATCCCTAGTACTACCAAGCCTATTTTAGGCATGACACGATAATACATTTTTATGGTGTGATTTTTTCGTCATGAAACCGATATGTTTATCCAAGTGACACTATTTTCTATTCGGTTAGAGGATAAAATGATTGAGAAGAGTGTTATGTATTTATTTCGAACAAGTGATACAAAAAAGTCGTTTCACACAGTGCTCGTTACAGATGGGTTCGAAACATTTATAACACTTGTTCAGAGTCTTTCTGTCTTTGGTACGATCACAAAGTGGACATCGTTCTCCTTTTAAGTCCGTGGAGGTTTCATTTATTTCTTGTGATGCTTTCTCCACCTTAGGATAACCCATAACGGCTAATGCACTTCGAACATCTTTGTGCAAGAAATTTGAAGTTTGTGAACAAACATCAAGAAGATGAGCCACTAAACTTATTTCTAACGCTTCAAGAAATAAGCGACGTTTATATTTTTTATTCTTGTTCCAATCTGAATTCTTTTTCTTCCATATGATCAGAACATTTAGAGCAGCGATGTCTAACGTAGGATATCTTTGGTCAGAATTCGAGTATTTCCTAAAAGGATTCGCTCCAGAAAACTTTCCAAAATAGTCTAACAACTTTCCAAGTAGAATTCGACGAGCTCTATCGAATGGATACATTTGGAGCTCAATTTGATAAACCCTTCCCTTCAGAAACGGTCAATCACAGGTTCGATCCATAGATTTCTCCGAAGACCTGAAGAGACTCGCCCAGGAGTACTTTCCAAGTCCAACATATAACTTCCCGACTGGGTCTAAATGAGATCTATTGAATGGGCATCATTCGAGCTTGATTTGATGCTTCCCTTCCCAGAGAAGCGTCTAATCCAGGACCCAATTATTCAGTTTTTCAAGAAAATCCGAACCAATTTGTCCAGAAGTACTTTCCAACAGAGATATATAACTTTCCAAATAGATCTCAATAAGATCTATCGAATGGACACCCTTAGAACTTGATTCAATGCTCCTCGTCCCAGAAAAATGTTTAAGCCAGGGTCCAATTTTCCAGTTTTTAATAAAAGCCGTAAGGATTCACCGAGAAATACATTCAAACTGGAACATATGACCTTTTAAACAGATCTAAATGAGATGTATCGATGGGCAGCTTTTGAGTACAACTAGATGCTCCTGAGGAAATGAAATCAGTACAAACTAGCCGAAATTCTAAGTTGTTCCCTAAAACTTGTCAGGATTCGTCTAGCAGGACTTCCTAACGTTCTCGTAGAACTTCTGAATTAGAGCCCAACGTGCTCTATCGATTGGACAGTTTCCGCGCTCAATTTGATGCCTCTGTCTTTTGTAAACCTGTTATTTCCTGTGAGAAATTAGCTTTTTCGTGGCAGAACCTCTCACGATTCACTCCATCCTTTGTTCAAACTACACGATTGATGGTTCGAGCGAGAACTCGAAGAATTCAATCGAATGGATACCCGGGTGAATGTTCTAAGGGTTGATGGCGTACGTAGTTGCCTCCCGACCATATGTTTTATGCCTCGCAAAATATACAATCGATAGAATGAGTACATACCGGCCGCTCAACCGCTGTGATAGAATGGATTGAAGGGTTTTAATTCGAGGAGAACTATGAAACGAGAGCGGGAAGAATTTATCGTGCACGATATAAAGAGAAGGAAAAGAAAATTAATTTATCATGCGAGATAAGACAACGAGAAGAAAAATAACTCACCGCGCAGCATCTTATTTCGAAGCGAAGAAAAAGTTTCATTGGATGATTTCTGTAACCGAATTCAATGCTTATTTATTTTTTCTCTGCATGAATTAAAGAAGTAGCATTTTGCTTTGGGGAGGCGGCGGGTACCCGAATCGGATGAACGAGCCGTCTGTTTGAAAGAGATTGCTGATATTTCTCTGTACAGTTTTGTCACCCGCTGTAAGAGTGATTCTCAGGCAAGCACACCGGCTTCAATGTGAAAAATTTACTAAGTAGGCGGAAATTACTGGATCACGGTGGCACCGAATACACGAATCAGATCAGAGAAGAGTCTCTTACATAGAGCTCGTCGAGTTCTATCAGCAACAAATCAACCATGTAGTGGGAACCAATGGTTGGGCGGATTGTGACAGGCTCTTCCACGAAAAACTGAATTTGTGACTTTGAATCGAGCGTTTCCAAAAACCAACCGTATTGGACTCGGCTAAAAAGGCCCTCCATCAGTAGAGCTGATCACAATCTACTTCAAAACTTTCATCTAGTTGTTGGAAAGTGCTTTCGAACGAATCCTATAAGGTTTTACATAAAAGCCTAGGATGCTCCGATTTTTTTTGCAGATTTTCTTGACTCAGCACCATTTGATTCTGTTTAAAAGGTATCCAATCGGTAGAGCGCATCAGATTCCATTGAGACGAAATGAATCAAAAAGAGTCAATGATAGAGTAGAGATTAAATTTTGATAAAAGATAATTTCTTATGTTAATTTTGGATATCATATTTCTTTTCCTTGTTTTTCAATTATTGATAGTCAAAATCTCTTAATACAAGGAACGTTTTTTTGTAGTTTCGTCAGTCTTATTAAAAAAATTATTTTTCTCAGTATGGAATCAAAACATAATTACACAATATTTTAACAATCTTAATAAATTATTTTTTTCTAGTCAATTATATTGTGTGAAACGAAAAAAGAAAATATTTATTATATTCACGGCTGTATGAAACATTAACAGATTTTTTAATGAAATCTCAAAATTGAGATTTTTTTGTTTTTGAGAAACCTACTTTTAAAAATTAGAGAGGCATTTTTTCTAGGTAATCCCATGTGTTCTATTCAATTATACATAAAAAAAGGAAAAAAATGGTGGAGAAATTTTGCGTTTCTTGCAGCTTACAAAAAAAATATATTGAACGACTTGTCTCTTCGAAGTAGAATTTTTTTGATGATTGACTCACTCAAATTGAAATCATTATTTGAAGATGACAGTTCAATAAAACTACTGCAATGGTCATAGTACTTATGAATAGTGTCCTGCATGACTAACATGTTTTTGGTTACAATCACGAAAAACAATTCGCGTTTAAACATCTTTAGAGAAAAGTTCT